GGGTTGAAGGATGCGCTTGTGCGCATGAGGCCGTGAAGCTTCGGGCCCGATGGATTGGCTGAAAGGATTGCCACGACCGACTCAACCGCCGGGGCCACGGCGCGATCACGGATGCACGAGCGTTCGATCGCAGGCTCCAAATCAACGAGGCCCAAGCATCCGTCGAGTATTTCAATCTGCATGACTTGGTTCGTACAGACTGATGGTCAAAAGTCGGGCAACAGTAGTCGCAGGCGACGACAACTTGGGTCATGGACTTCGACGATGGAGTTTTTGGTGACGTGCTGACAGTGCATGCACACACTGCGCAGAGTTGTCGCTGAACGGGATCAAGCGCCCCTTTTCTCAGCTTGTGACCTGACGTTCCCCCTGCGTGAGCGCCTTTGCCTCCGGTGGACCGAGGGGAGCACGAGACCGAGGTTGGCGCCATATTCGCTGGGCGTGCGGGTGTCTGCGGCAGCATGGCAGAGGGCGCAGCGATGGACGGGGCCGCGGGGCGGGAGGGCAGGCCGGCGGAGGAACACGAGGAGACGCACAAGGGCTACCAGGTGAGGCGATAGCACCACTGATACACTGCATGAGCCAGCCACAGGGGAGGCGGGCGGCGGGTCTGCGGGCGGAGCGCAAGCCCGCTGGCGACGGCAGGATACCCGCAACATCCCTCTGGCCCAACACAATCGGTTGGAAGTGAACAAAGCTACGCTAGTTACAACCTTGTGCATTTTGCGGAAGACTTGGCTCGTTTGAGTGGGTAAATGCTACACTGGTCAAGCTTCCTGTAGCTTAAGGTTTATGACTCAACAATCGGGGCCAAATAAAGGCTGAGCCTAACGAGAATCTGCAGCTCGAGCGAGTCAATGGCTTATAGAGCCCTTTAGGCACGTGCCTTCTGATAGCGATGGTCTAAAAGACGAAGTTGACTCCGACGTCTCCAAGCTAAGAAGTTTGGAAGAAAGACACTGGAACTTTGCAAGGCTGCCAATCACCTGCAATTGCATGGTTTTCGCGCGGATTTTACCCTTCTTTCATCACCAAAGGTTGGATACTTTGTTTGTATCAATCCGGTCTTTCTGCTTGCTTTAAGCGCTCAAAGCTAGCGAGGGCCATGCTTCCCGACCCGGATCCGACGGGGCCGCGACCTGATTAGTCAACCTGCCTTTCCGTTTTTCCAGCATATGAAGGATTATGAGGTTGTGAAGAAGAAGAATGTCACGTCTTCCTGACTTCGTGAACAATCCCCTGAAAGTGGCATGAGCTGGTTGACGTCGATTCACCTCGGGTACGGCCCCTTCGTCTGTATATTTCTCGACCGCTACCTGTTCCTGTCTTTCTGCTTCAAATTCCAGGTCGACGAAAGGCGTCACTCAGCTTCGCGAGCCGTTCTTTCAAATATTTCTGTCGCCCGCTGATCTCCTTTACACATTCTGCGTTTCGCTTCTGGTTCAAGCAAGCATACACGCGACGTGTCCATGCCTGGTGCAGCCCATCGGCGAGATCCGCGCGTGCGGCGGCCTGGACAAGCTGGTGGGCCCCACTGCGGGCGCGCGCCCCGCCAGCCTGGCGCGCATGCACCTCGACCCCGCGCTCGACAAGCAGCTCAGCGCCGCCGTCGGGTAACGCACCGCACTCGCGCTGGCCAGAACTGCTGATTCGACTGACATGAGGATCCCTTGCAAAGCGGAAGCCGTCTTCGGCGTGGCCCTGCAACGTCTGTTGCAGCACCACAAGGGCCACCATTCGCGAAGTCACTTCGGCAAAGTGTCGGCAGCAGTCCAGGCGGCCTTCTCATCCATGCTCTGAAGTGTATACCTCTCACCGGCTCCCCGCGCTGTCTCCATGCCCGCCCGTCCGCGCGCCCGCCCGCCCGCTCGTGCGTTGCCTGACTGCCGCGGTGTGCTGTCCGCAGCGTGGCCCTGGGCACGTGGTATAACCTGGAGGCCATGGCGGTCTTCTGCCTCAAGGACACCGTCGCGCTGCCCGGCTTCACCAGGTGCGCGCGCGCCACGGCCCACGCCAGTTCTTATCTCTAACAGCCCGCTGGCTCAAGCAAGGGCAAAGGGCCTTCCAATAAAGTCACGTCTTGCTCTCCTGTGGTCGGCGAGCCACGGTCCCTGGCATCCACCCGGATGCGTCCCGCCGGGCGTGGAGCGGGCCCTGTTGCTGCAGCCCGCTGACGCTGCCGGCGGTGTTTTGCAGGTACTTCCGGGGGCGGGCGGGGCAGGAGTACCGCGAGGCGCGCAGCATCATGGACTACGTCGTGAGCAGCGCAAGCCCGCGCCTCGCTGACGCATGTGTCACCCGGGGTCGTGCATCCAAAGGATCCTGCAAGTCTGCCCGTTGTAATGGATTTACACTTATGCGTGCCCGCATTATTTGTCAAGTGGGGCATTGGCGGCAGAAGTTGTAAGAGCGAGGAGCGGTGGCCCTCAGCGTTGTAACGGGAGCGCTCTGTGGTTGCAGAGCCAGCGTGGCGGAGCCGTCCAGTTCAAAGAGGTACGGCCTTCGTCCAGCACGGGTAGGGCTGCCGAAACATGGTGCAGGCAGGGGAAGACGCGCCAGATGGGCAGTAGCGTCAATGTGACGGCACGTAGTTGGCTGCAGAGATCAATTGTCTTTCGAAATAGTAACGGCCTCATGAGCCTGTTGTGTCGATTCTGCAGATCGCGCCGCCGCCCAACAGCTTCAATCACGAGGAGAAAGGGGACGCGCTCTTTTGTGAGTTCTGCCACCCTCGCCAACTTCGTAATACAAGTACGGTTGGCGTTCGTCCTGTTCGTTGTACTTTTCAACCCGAACACGCCTTTTTCCTGTCAACCCACGTACGTAAAGCTTCACTGGTGTTAGCTCGGTGCCGGCCGCGGCCCGCTGTGTGCTGATGCGGGCGGCGTTTGTGCGCAGTGATGGAGTACGCGCTGGCGCTGGAGAAGGTACAGAACGACAAGTACGTCCAGCTCTTCCGGGTGAGTCGACCCCCATGCGCCCCCATGCGCCCGCAACGGAGACGTACAATAGGGCCCAACTGTACTACCTCTCCCTCGTGACGTCCTGCCTTGCCCTTGCTGGTGTGCTGCTGTGCCTCACCCCTGCATGCTGGCTCACCCGTCGTGCCGTCACGTGCTTGTTGTGTTTACCGCTGCCAGGCCGCGGGGGGCAGCGGTGACCCAGGCGTGCAGGCGTTCGTGCAAGTACGCTTGCTGGGGCCCCGGGTGAGGACATAATTGTGTCTGGTGCGCCCCAAGCGAATCCTCTTCTGGCGGGTACATTTGGTAGCACTGTATTTTTGAAGAGTGTTTTTGAAGAGTGTGGCTTCATCTTGGAGTAACACGAAGCTGTCTGGTGTGGTGGCAGGCGGCCATCATCCAAAGGACAGCGCAATGCGTAGCGCAACTGCGACGTCTTGGAAAAGGAGCAGGTGAGCGAAAAGACGGATTTGGGTCTCGTTGTTCTTTGCTGTGGCAGCCTTCTCGCTGGTTGGGCGAGGGCACAAGAGGACTGGAGCAATGCTCTCCAGCAAACCCCCATGCAAAACAAAGTTCACGAGGTGTTTAAAAGGCTCTCATCAGCACTGCCGTTGCTTCGCAGGCGTCTTCGTCTTCAACGCGCAGCTCTTGGCTGAGCAGCCCAGGGAGGAGTCCCTTGGGAACGAAGCCGAGGTGAGCGGTCACAGGCTCGCGGAGGAGCGAAGTCGAAATCACTTGTGGCAAGGGTCAAGAGGACGGTCGAAACCAGTCCAACGAAGCAACCTACAGCCTAATGGAGACCTCTGATAACGTATGCCATCAATAATCGAGGGCATTGACAGGCTTTGTGAGAATATTCTCTTTGGTTGTGTGTCATGAGTGGCCACTTTAAGGAGCTCCTAGCTTTTCAAGCAGAACCTCCATAGTATCCAGCTCATGGTAAATTCCATACTGCTTGTTGGTTACTGCGTGCTTTACTCAACTCCTTGTACGTCCCTGTTAGGACCAGGATTGGAGCTTGCCGGGAAGTGGCGCATGCAAGCGGGCCAAGTCTGGTGTGGCACAAGGATAAGAACAACTAGTTGAGGATCACCCCGTGTGCTAGTCGACATGTTCTCATCGGCTATTCTACTAGTTGATACTAGTGTGAGACGACTAGTTACTAGTAAAGTACTCTGCCTTGCAACCTCTACAAGTTCGGTCCGGGTATGACTACTCCACTGGTGTATCCACCCCGAGCTGCATGGAACTAAGAGCCAATAAACCGAGGATTCGATGCATAGATGATTGCTAAAGAGTGCAAACGCTTTGCTAAGGCGGCCAATTGGCACCATTGTGAGATCTTGACATAGGCTGTTGGGGTTTCTAGTGAATAAAGGTCACACGCTGCAAACCAACCAAATTGAAAGACATCATACTTTTTCGACAAAAACGCTTTTGTGGATCAAGTGGTTGCAAACGGGGGTTCTTTTTGTCGACATGTTCCCTGGTAACACAAAGGCAGGTTCCGCATGCGGTTCGAAATACATATCTGTTGGCCATTTTGCAACTAAGGTACTTAATACTAAACCAACGACAAGTCCGGGCTTCCTCGATTAGCGGCTTCGCAATCTGCACGGCTTTTGTGTGGCAAACCGTTGATCCTTGTGTCCAACGTATGTAAGCATTGTACCAACTTGGATATGCCTCGATCAATGATCCCGTCAATATGACGACTAGTGACCAAGTGGTTGTTGCGGTTGTGTGCTTGGTCTAAGATCTATGATTCAACGATTTTCAAGATCATACAAGATGGTCCTTGGAGATAGTGCCGCATTAAATGATTTGGTGGTTTGATTGTAGCGCAACATGAAAGATGCATAGATAAAGGATAATATGGCCAAAAGGAAGACATTTAGGATTCTTTCAATCCCAATGATAACCAAACTGGTTCCAACGGCAAGCTCGCTACACAGTACTCCTAAATATCATGCATTAAATCTGATCGGGCATGTCATCCAATATACGAGAAGGATTTTGCGAGCCTTCATGTATCTTGACGAGCAGATGGTTAGCAATTCCTTGAATGCCGCATATATATAGAAAATACAAGCTTCCACTGTTGATGCGCACAACCACAAAAGTTATTTATTGCTCAAGTGACGAAACTGTCGGCCCCGGAACAGGCATATATTGGCATACGGTCTACCGAATTTTGAGGCTTTGGCATACGGAATATTGGCCAAAAATGGATTTGGCATACGGCATATCCAGTTTGTAATGTGCCAATATGCCAGGATAATACTGCAATATGTCCAGCTTTGCCCCAAAAGTAGCATGTACTTTTTCAATCTTTCTGGAACATTAAACTGCTTATGTGTCTAGCTACAATTTCAGAGCTTATGAAACTTTTCAGCGGCATATACCTTGAGGTGGTCAAACGAGCTCTTTCGAAGAACCAGTGTGACGATTCGAGTCTATGAATCTTCATATCGAACTCGTCCCAGTATATT